ATGTGGGTACTTAAATGAAAGGTCTTGGTGAGTGTAACATCGGGATGAGCTTATATCTTTAAAAACGTCAATATTTAAGAAAGTACAGTGCAATTTAACAAAAATCATTATTTAATAAAGAAAAATTTTGTTTATTTATAGTTTAAAAGTCAGGGCAGTCACGTAGTGACTGCAAAGTTGCTAGTATTAAGTTCAAAATTGAGTTCTTTGCGCGCGCATCCCGCCATTTCATGAAAGCCCACCATTTTGTCAATTTTACAATTTTTCACCTTCTTTTACTAATTTATCTGCTAAATTTTTTTTATAAACTCACATTTTTATGTAAAAATTTAACACCATAAATTTTTCTTATGAAAAAAAAATTTTTTTTTCAAATTCTACTTTTACAAAGAAGATATTTATTTAAAAAAAAAATTTAATAATAATAAACGTTAGATTGTTCATTTTAACCAATAAAAAATATAAAAGTACCAAAAAAAAAAAAATTAGGGTTGAGTCTGACTGAAACAGAAATTTCTACTTAATTTCTTCCCTAAAAAAATTCTAAACAAAAAAAATTATTTTCCAAAAAAAATCCGACGATGAAAAAAAATTACAGCATATATAAAGACAAATACCCTTCAGACAGATGACATAGGGTGAGATTTAATGGTTGTGGCCCTAACGAGGCGCCAAGTAGTCTCAATTTCCTCATATCAGTCTAGTGTCCACTCTCTGGAGAGCTGTAATCTTCCATAACACCCAACAAAATTTTTCGGCGTTCCAACTAATGTCCCATAAAATCTTTCGGTAATTTCTCGACTTGTAAATAAATAAAACTATAATGCAGTGTAAGTACATTAAGTACACAATATAAGCAAAGAGAGAGATTGCGGGTGGGTAGAAGTATAAAGCTGTGCTTCTATTCGAATCATATTTATATATAAAATAAAATAAAGTACACTCGTGTCAGAATATAACACAGAGCGACTAAATTTATTCGTGATGGTTTTCTTATCATATCGGTACAAAGTGGAAAGTGGGCGTCGCCAAAGCTCAGAGTTACCTGGGAGAACTTTCGCAAGCTCTCGGCCAATAGGACCAGCTCCCGGGTCGAATACCACGATAGCTTTGCAAGCTCCCTCTGCGCGCGCAATTTTACAAGCAACTCCTTTCATGAGGGCACAAAAATTATAACTTTTGCTAGCTGGTTTGCCCACCAAAGAAAACTAATATATCTATATTTGTATATATATACATATATATGTAGATAGATTTTAAAGGTAGGGGTTGCAAAGAAGAAATGATGGCAGCTGAGGTTCGTGGTCAGACTAGCGCAACGTTAACTTTGCTCTACTTTAC